ACAGTAACAGCACTATGCCAACTCGCTATAGTGTCAATCATTAGTGAATGGGCTTTCATTTTATCACTGTGCATTTGATCTCTTTATTCACTTTCTACAATATTCATACCTAGAAAAGAACCTTCCTTTCAGTCTTTCTTCTAAAATGCCAGCCTGGCGAGGCTGACTTAGGTATTGCAAATACATGGAACAGTCACAGTTTTTAAAACACTTTAACAGCAGAGGACCAGATGCTCAGCTGGTGTAAGCTGGATTCAATGGAGCTTACAGCCATCAAGGATCAGGCCCACAGAGTTTTGTAATGTTTGTACTGTAGACTGATTGGCTTCAAAGGAAATCTCTAACAAGCTATTGGAGCACATTGCTGAATTTACAGACAATCGTGAGACAGTACCTATAATTCATCTATTAAGGGCAAATCGCCAAAAGCCGTGGATTCAAGAAGGCTTTACTGCCTACAACACTGCATTTTAACTACCATGTCACAAAATATGGTTCACTGAAAGTCCTGTTCTGAGGAAGGCAGTGGTGGGGAGGAGGGATTGGCACAACCCAGAGTAAGAAATCATTCAGGCAGAGAATGAGTAATTGCAGGGCTCTCACATAGAATCTCCCAAGATTTACTGGAGAAGTTCAAAGAGATTTACCACAAAAACACCGTGTACAATCAAGTCAGGGAAGAGGAGTTGATCCATATAGCACTGAAGGCAAGTTTGTTTAAACTAACTGGGCTGTGGTAAGGAGATGCAGACAGGTAAACACATTTTGCCCCTTCTGTTCTTCTACCCTAAACACATTCAAAACCTTTGACCACCTCCTCTCTTTTCCACTAGATCCAGATCTTTTTTTCTCCGTTCCATCTGTCTTTCCTCTCCCCTTCCACTTTCTCGTGATCTCGCCCTCCTATTCTTCCATTTTTGCCCTTTATCAACCACAGAACGTCCTCCCAGGAAACAAATCTACCCAAAGCTCTCTCAGGATCAAATTCCTTTCTTGCTCTGTTCACCTCCTCTCTGCCACCGCTTCACATCCCTTCTGCCATGCACTCTGTGCTGGTTCCCTCCCTGACCTCATCCCAAATAACAAGCGACACCCTATTTGCTCTCAGTCCAGTAGAACTGTACATGGGTAACACCATCATGTAGTTGAGGGGCCAAGGAAAGATCAGGGGGTTACAGAGTGGGACTCACATCTCCAAACTAAGGATGTTAAGGACTAGTCAACTATCCAATAAGCAAATGCTTATCAGATAGTCGAGTTGACTAGTCGCTTCCCTCCCCACCCTCTTTGTTGCCTCTATCAGATACAGGCTCCATGCGGCACTGCTGCTTTGAAATGCCGTGGTGGTGTTTCAAAGGGGCAGCGCCGCACAGAGCCCAAGATCAGCAATGCGGCGCCGCCCCTTTGAAACTCCACCACAGCATTTCAAAGCGGCAGCGCCGCATGAAGCCCAGGGTCAGCTGGGCAGTCTGACTGCAGAAATGCCACGGAAATGCCGTGCAGAGCCCAGGATTAGCTGGAAAGTCCCCAGCTGACCTCGGCTCCGCATGGCATTTCAAAGCAGCAGTGCTACATGGAGCCCAAGGTTCCATGTCCCCCACTGACCCCAGGCTCGATGCAGGCACTTCCACTTTGAAATGCACATGAGCCCTCGCTGGGAACTCTTGTACATTTCAAAGCTGTCATGCCGTGTACAGCCCAGGGCCAGTGGGAAGTCCTACTGACTCCAGGCTCCATGTGAAGTCCCCACTTTGAAATGCACAAGAGCCCCCGGAGGAGCTCTTGTGCATTTCAAAGGAGGAATGTGGAAGTTGCTATCGACTAGCAAATTAATTGATATTTAACATCCTTACTCCAAATCACATCTCCTCCTCACAGCTAGAGGTCCTCTCTAATCCAAAACACAGTGCCTCTATTTGAGCTGCAGAAAAACACAGAAAGACACCACTTTCCCATAACATAAGAAATAAGAACTAGGGGCCACCAAATGAAACTAATAGGTAGCAGGTTTAAAACAAACAAAAGAAAATTTTTCTTCACTCAGCACACACCCAACCTGTGAAACTCCTTGCCAGAGGATGTTGTGAAGACCTGGATTTTAATAGGATTCAAAAAAGAACTAGATAAATTCATGGAGGATAAGTCTATCAATGGCTATTAGGTTGGATGGGTCGGAATGGCATCCCAAACCTCTTTTTATCAGAAGCTGGGAATGGGTGACAGGTGATAGATCACTTGATGATTGCCTGATCTGTTCATTTCCTCTCGGGCACCTGGCATTGGCCGCTGTTGGAGGGCAGGATACTGGGCTAGATGGACCTTTGGTCTGACCCAGTATAGCCGTTCTTATTTTCACTTCTCAGATCAAGCAGGGGAACTATCCTATTCAGACATAACTATAAGCTTTATTAGCAATATTATCTGCTGTGTATATTGTGATATTCACGTAGGTGGCTGTATGGATAAAAATACCACCCCTAATTTTGATCAAATTGATGAAAACTGACTGAAATAAGCAGAAGGTAGTTTTATCAATGTCAGAGTGGATAGACTGCATATCCCCTGCATTACAATGCAGTATAACTCTAATCTACACAGTTGAATCCTGCTGTGCTTGTTAGAGCTAAATAATGCATAAAATACTTAGCTAAAAGAGGGCCACTGAGGTCACTGGGAGCCTTTTTTTTACTTCAAGGGATCAGTCCTTAATAAGAAAGAGAGAAATGAAAGTGCACAGACAAGAGAAGCAAAGCTGGTTCAAGCTCCAAATTCTCAATCCTTGAAAAAATTTTGAAATTTTGGAATTTGGTTTCATTCTTATTTGGAACAAAAATATTTTTGAAGCTTCTTCTGGCATTAAATTTTTCAAAAATAGTATTTTTAAATGTCGTTTTGAATTTTATTTTCTAACTTTTATGTTATTTTGACATATCAGAAGTATTAGTATATAATATTTATAATTTATCATTCCTTTTTAAAATTATTAAGGGCAGCTGCTCCTACATTTTTATCTAGAACAGATAAGATGTTTCAATCAGTAGTAAGTTGCATTCATCTCTAATTTTTTAAAAAATAAATAAAATACCGTATTTCAACTATAAAATAAGTAAAATACCATATTTCATACCTTATTATGACATGTCAGCAATAAGTGTTATGTACTACTATAGACATGTCATGAAGTAATGTCAAGCAACACAAACAATAAAAATAAATAAAATGCAAAATGAAATTACAAAATTCAAAATAATTCTGAAAAAAATGTTTCTAATTCCATCCCCTACAAGAACTTTTGTCAAAAAATCTCCCATTTTTAGAACATTTCAATTTCAATGAAAATAGCATTTCTGTTTTAAAAAATGGAAAAAAATTTACAGACCAGAACTGAAAACATATGGTGAGCTGATTATACTTTCTAGAACAACAATAATGATCAGCTGCACCCATGATGCAGTTAGTACAAACAGTAGCACGTGACATGGTTTTCCCTAAGTTTCTTTGTAGTTATATAATTTCTAAAAACACTATAAAAGAGATTGAACACAATGGACAAAGAGTCATACCACCACTGTCTTGTGTTTACACAGGGCGGTCTGAATATACGTGAGGTATGAGGAGGGACATAAAAGACTAATGGATAGTTAAATCCTTACAAAACTAATGGCTATATCTGCAGGCTCTCGGGCCAGGTCTGCACTACAGAGTTTTTGTGCAAAAACGGCTGTTTTTGTGCAAAAAACTCATGGAGTGTCCACACCTCAAGTGCATTTTTGCGCAAGTAAAACGAAAGAACAGAGGAGGTTTTCCGGTGTAGGTATTCCTCCTTCCACGAGGAATAACTCCTTTTTGCGCAAGAGCTCTTGCCCAAAAAGATGTGTGTGGACAGGGAAGAGGGGTTTTTTGCGCAAAAAAGAGGCAATCAAAAAAAGCACAGGTGCCCTGGTGACCATTCTGTAAATAGCAATCAGAGTTTCCTTTCGAGAGCATCCATGCAGTGTGGATGCTCTCCTGTGCAAAAGTGCATCGCTTTTTCAATGCACTTTTGCAGTGTGGACGCACTCTTGCACAATAAGTTTTTGCGGAAGATCTCTTCCACAAAAAGCTTCTCGCGCAAGAAGCCTCCAGTGTAGACGTAGCCTCAGTGCTCACTCTCGTTCCACAAGCACTCTGATTTCCACCCATTAGATTTCCACTCATTTGCTCCTTCTGAAAAAGAATCTTACATCCAACTCACTTTTGCTCCCTATCCACCTCTCTGTAGCTGCAGCCTCACCTCCTTCCTCTGACGCTCCAGTCAGCACTTTCTCCAGCTGGTACTGATGTATATTTATAGTTAATGTTCACCTTCCTCCCTATATCTAGCTCAAGGGTGGGAAAAAAGAGACAACCTCCGAGAGGCACATCATTAGAAGGGGGAATTAAACAATGATTCTAGCGTGGAAGAAGTGAGCCTATGTCCAGGGAATCAGAGAGCTTCTAATAAATGAAAACCCCCATTACTTCAATGACTTCTGCAATGAGGGTTATCTATAAATGACGGAAAGAAACGGTGTAGTTTCAAGGGTGATAAATACACTGATGACACAGAGAAAGAGCCAGAGTTGTACCAGCTTTACAAATCACATGTCTTGTATTGGAGGACATTTTCAGGGATCTGGAGACAATGATATGATAGTTCTTTTACACTGTGAATGTGATCCAATAGGATAAAACAGAACAAATACATGATAAATGGGGGAGAAAGAGAAGAGAGAGATTTTAGTGCAGACAAACTGTGTCCTGAGACTAGTGAATGAATATAAACATACATTGGTCCTGGAGAAGGAAGAACCACGGCAAAGATTTGTGAGACATAAATTGATAACTGGGACAGCTGACATGATCAGATTGTGTTCTGCAGTGTTTGTAAGCAGAGTTTTGACCTACTCATATGGAGGGCTTTCAATGCACAGTGTAAGCATTACAGTCGGGTTCCCAAGATTGCTTAGCAGAATCATTACCTTGTTCACCCCATCTGCCATGGCTTGCAAAGTCAACTCTCTAGGTCCATCCACAGTCTTTCCGTTATCTGTTGGCCCCCAGCTGGCGCTATATATATCTATGACTTGAGGCATGTGACTGATAGAGGAAGCTTCGATAATGTCGGTCATAAAAGGCTGGTCCAGCATTCGGATACCTGTTGATTAAATCAGCATACACACAAATTATGACAGGCTATTGGCTCAGGATCTGATTTAAACCTGCAGTTTCAGGCATTACAGCAAACTGGTCAGGCCTGCCAATGGTGGGTGGGATGAGCAAAAGGGACAGTTGCCCTAGGCCCCTATGTTCCACAAGGACCCGGGATTCCCAGAGGCCAGAAGCCCTGGGCCCGTTAAATTGCCACTGGAGCACCATGCAGTTGCATCATGGCAGGGCGTGCTCCAGGCAGTGCCACAGCCCTGGTGGTACTGAGGTCTGGCTGCCATGGCTCCACCCCTGGCACCTGAGGCCCCACCCCTTCTGTGAGGGGAGTGTGGAGCCAGCTCCCACCCCACCCCACCCCCACACACACACTTTGCCCAGGAGTCTGGAGAGGCTGTCGGCTCCCCTATCACTAGTTATTTCAGATCCCCAATAATTTTGTATTAACAGTTCAGATTTCAGTCGGTACAACAGAGTGTTATCACCATTACATACATGTAGAACAATGAGATGGTGGCACAGAAAGGAGCGAATGGTTTATCACTGATTCTCCTGTAGAACTCACCAATTATACAGCACCTTTCCTCCAAGTGTTTCAAAACACATTAAAAAAACAATTAAGCTTTAAATCTCTGTAAGGAAGGCATCATTACACATGGTTTACAGATGAGGAAGCTGACAGAGAAATTGTGGGATCTGTCCAAGATCACACAGAAAGTCAGTGAAAAAACCAAGGAATAGAGCACAAAACTTGTATGCAGTACACTAACCTAACCACAAAATCACATTCGCTCACATGTTGTGTATATTATTCATCTCCCAACAGGTTTTCCCTTGTCTTGTTCTACAATGGGGGATAGTGTTTATAATCAGAAAGGAGAGATAAATCTACCAATGTCTTATATGGAAATAATAGCATCTACACTTTTGTATACATTTACAGTGGAGAAATTTGACTATTGTTTCGAAAAAGCCTTTTCGATAACTTCCAGTGTATGCCGATTTAATGCTGTCCCTGAACTCCAGCTTCAACTAAGCCAAAGAGAAAATGATTTGAGAAATGCAAGTCTTTTTGGGACAAAACTAAATCATGATTATTTATAAACCCAAACACAAGCCAAGCTGAGGACTAGACTCCTTTCATTGACTCTTGCCTGAGACAAGAGTAACCGGAAATAGTTTCAGGTAAACTCGCTCCATGTATGGATTTGGGTGGGAATTTATTAGTTCTCAATGTTTTAAACTAGAAATGGACTGGAACAAAAGAACAAAGAAACATACAGCTAGGAAACAGATTTCTCATCTCACAATTTTTTTTTTTTTTTTTTTTTTTGAGATATCAAGAAAATTTCCCATTCTGAACTGGGACTCTTGAAAAATTTTGTGACCTGAACACCTGGAAAAAAATTGTCTGAACTCAATAAAAACATTTCATTGTAATATTTGTGAGCTTTTTCATCTTGATTTAGAGCATTTTTATTTAAAAATATAATCAATCTTAATTTTAAAACCAATTGTTGCTTTGAATTGGAAAACTGGATTTTTTTTTCATTTCTTTAAATGCTGACTTTAACGTTTTGATCATTAGAAAACTTTGTCTCAAACATGTTTCAAGGTGAACAATTTTCTCTTCTCTGAAACTCAGGATTTGCGATCTGATACCACTTTACACCTGTTGAGGAACCAGAAAGGTCAAATACGTCAGCTTTCTCCAGAGGTTTGATGGATTTACTGATTTCCACTGGCCCCTTGGTGGTGCTATAGACCTCAGTAATAAACCAGAGCTTTTCTCAGTTTAGAAACATGGGATGCTGTTCGCCCTAAAATAAATATTCCTTAATATGGAATTTTGTTAGGAAACTGACAAGTAGGGTAGCTTGTTACCGTTTCAGTAGGATATTAGTACTGCCCCAGGGCTTTACTATGTAGCTTCTAAATAACTGACTTGAAGTTACAAAGTTGCATTGTCTGACAGAGTGGTTTTACCCACAAAAGCTTACGACCAAATAAATGTATTAGTCTTTAAGGTGCCACAGGACTCTTCATTGTTTTATTAATGCTAGAGATAGGTCCTTAATCAAAACCCCATAACCAAATGCATGCACATTTAGGTTTTCAATATTAGAATATAAATATTGTGACTTGTGTCCTTCTCTGAGCCATATGTGCTATTGCTGATCAAGGGTGATATGCATTAGGTCTCTTCTTAGAGCAATACTGCATATACATTTGAATTTCATGTCTCACTGACTACAGCAACTAAAACAATGACACCAGTCCTGCCCTTCATATTTTGTAAGGAAGGGCTAGCACTGCAGTGGAGAGAGGCTAGAGCAACCTGCAGTCATGAAGACCTGTGCATTTTAATAAGTAGGGTATGTCTACACTACCCCCCTAGTTCGAACTAGGGGGGTAATGTAGTCATTCGGAGTTGCAAATGAAGCCTGGGATTTGAATTTCCTGGGCTTCATTTGCATGATGCCAGCCGGCGCCATTTTTAAATGCCGGCTAGTTTGGACCCCGTGCAGCGCGGCTACACGCGGCACGGACTAGCTAGTTTGGATTAGGCTTCCTATTCTGAACTAGCTGTACGCCTCGTTTTTTCAGATCCAAGAAGTCAGGCTGCTATTGTGTATTTTCTTATGTACAAACATCCCCACATGTTAACACCCTAGCTATCCCTATCCCCCCTTTGGATGCAGACCTAAACCAGACTCACCATCCAAACCCTTTACAATATATTCATTGCATGTAAAGAGTCAGAAGTTGAAATAACACTTTGCGTGTGCCGGTTGATTTTGATCCTGATTTGTAGTAGTCACTTGGGGTATGTCTACACTACAACGTTAATTCGAACTAAGCTAATTCGAACTAACGGATCCAGACTAAAAAACTAGTTCGAATTAGCGTTTTGCTAATTTGAACTAGCATGTCCACATTAGGTGGACCATGAACCAGGTTTAAGGATGGCCGGAAGCAGTGCCGGCAGGGCATCAGAGAAGAACTTAGAGCGTGGAGATGCTTTCTCAGGCTAGCCGAGGGCTGTGCTTAAAGGGTCCCGACCCCCACCCCGGACAGACAGTTCTCAGGGGTGCCCCGCTTGCAAAGCAGTCCTGGCTTGGAGTGCCCGGACTACCCACACTGGGCACATCACACCACTCGGCCATCAGCCCGGCTGCACTTGTCGTAGGCGGCCATCTAGGGAGAGGGGGCAATTGGGGGGCTGCAGGAGAGCTTCCACCCCCAGAAGGCCGCAGAGCCAACCCAGTCCTCCCCATCGGGGGCTCGTGCCCCATTCCTCCCTCACCTCCTTCCACTTACCCTTCCCTAGCCCCTCTTCTTGATGTACAAAATAAAGATAACGTGTCTCCCAAAATGGAATCTGTCTTTATTGAACAAAACTGGGGGAGACTGGGAAAAGGAGGTGGGAGAGGGGAAGAGAGAGGCTGGGAGAGGGGAGGGCAACTAAAATGATCAGGGGTTGGGAACAGGTCCCATATGAAGAGAGGCTAAAGAGACTGGGACTTTTCAGCTTAGAAAAGAGGAGACGGAGGGGGGACAGGATAGAGGTCTCTAAAAGCATGAGTGGGGTGGAGAGGGTGCATACAGAAAAGTTCTTCATTAGTTCCCATAAAGAAGGACTAGAGGACACCAAAGGAAAGGAATGGGTAGCAGGCTTCAAACTAGTAACAGAAAGTTGTTCTTCACAAAGCAAAGAGTCCACCTGTGGAACTCCTTGCTGCAGGAGGCTGTGAAGCCTAGAACTAGAACAGCGGTTAAAGGGAAGTGAGATCAAGTCATGGAGG